TTTTAGATAGTTGGCTTATAACATCAATTGAAATGAATAATTTTTTATGATCTAATTCTATTATAAACCAAGAAATGATAAAAAAAAAAAAAAAAAAAAAAAAAAAACCTATTATTATCATTATTTGATCTTCAAACATTCAATGAAGCCATCTTAAAGTTATGAAGTGTGATAAATGATTATTTCAACGTTGTAAAGATTAATGATTGTTAACTTTGCTAAAGCAATGCATTGCAAATTTGTACTCTATTGCTTCAACAAATATATTGCTTCTTTATTCTAAAATTGATGATATATAAATTGATGTAGTACAATTTAAACATCTTATAGTAGAAGAAAAGAAGCATTGATTTGAACAAATTTTATAGTTGTATTGAAGTGAAGAAAGCCACAAATTTGAGAACTAGCCAAAAAAATAAGACTAAAGACTAAAAAGGCATTGATAAGAATGAAAAATGCTTCACTCTTGTCTCTACATATACTATCTAATTAGAAGTTATGTAGCAGTGTTCTACATGACTTCCAACATGTATTGACTTTGTAAGATATATATCTTAACTTGTAAGGTAAGTTTTTTATATATGCACTATATAATTAGATTATTCCAAAAGCTATCAATATTTGTGTCACATAGTTAACTTGTTGACTAAGTTTCTAATCTAACAAATTTCATAAAATTTCTTTAGTACAAAAGTCAAAACTTTTATATATAAAAGTAATAGATGATCAACCTTTATCTTCATATAATGCTATTCATGAGACTATACTACTAAAACCATCATTTGAGAGCCATAGTAGCAAAATAGTATTCAATATTATTAAAACTCTATCTAACCTTATCATTTTAGGACTTTTATAATTATAAAGATATTATCCATCAATAGATTGGATGTTTCATAAGGTTGAATTTCCTATAAAAATCTTTCAAACAAAACCTATCAAGTAGTCATAGATTATAAAGTTTTTTTTTTTTTTTTTTAATTTTAAACAAAGATTTTTATGAAAAGAATTTAAAATATATATTATTTATTAATTACACAACTTTAACTTGTGAAGAATAAGATTTGGTGGTAGCTATTTTAAAGCAATATAAGGAATTTTAAGGTATCTTTAAAAAAAAAAAAAAAAAAAAAAAAAAACCTAATATATTGCTGAAGCATCTATTATATGATTGCACTATCAATCTTCAAAAAAAAACTCAACTATGATTTGGTCCAATCTACAATCTATTACAAAAAGAGATTTAATCATTAAAAGATTACATTGACAAAAATCTTGCAAAGAATTTTATTAGCTATTCCAAATTTCCAACATGTGCACCTATACTTTTTGTAAAGAAAAATGATGGATCCTTGCAAATTTGTATTGATTATTGCAACCTCAATAAAATAATAGTAAAAAATTATTATCTATTACCATTGATATTAGAGCTTTTAAAGCAACTCAGTCAAGGCAAGATCTTTACTAAAATAGATTTCCATAGGTGTACAATTTGATATGGATTAAAAAAAGAGATGTATAGAAGATAATATTTTGGACAAGATATGGAAATTTTGAGTATAATATCATGCCTTTTAGATTGAAAAATACTTTAATTATATTCTAACATTAGATGAATGATTTTTTTTTAAGAACTCTTAAATAAGTTTGTTATCTACTAACTTAATTATATCTTAATCTATTCCAAGATTTCTAAAGAACATGAAAAATATGTGAAATTAGTCTTGTAAAAATTACAAGATATAGAATTATATGCCAAATTAGAAAAATAGATATTTTATCAATCTAAAGTAGAATTTTTTGGATATATTATATCTATTGAAGGCTTGTTGATGACTTGAAGAAACTTCAAGTTATAATGTATAGTACAAAATATTAAAGACAAAACAAGGTGTACAATGCTTCTTTAGATTTGTTAATTTCAATTGGATATTTATCAAGAATTACTTCCAAATTGCTATTCTTTTCATTTGATTGAAATCCAAAAAAAAATTGAAATAAGAACCTCAAATATAAAGAGCTTTTCAAGATTTGAAGGCAGCTTTTATTACAATTCCAATTTTAATGCATCCGAATTTTATGAAAGTTTTTATATTTGAAAACTGATGCTTTCAACTTTGCATCAAGAGGTGAACTAAGACATATAGGAAAGGATAGAAAGTTCTATCTAGTTTCATTCTATTCTAGAAAGTTTTCAACTATAAAAATCAATTATGAGATCTATGATAAAGAGTTTTTTGTGATTATAGACTCTTTCTAAGAATGACATCACTTACTAGAAAGTACTATATATCTTGTAACTGTGTATAAAAATCACAAAAATTTGGAGTATTTCAAATTAATTAGGATTTTGAATCACTACCAAGCTCGTTAGAATATGTCATTTTTTTTTTTAATATTGTGATTGCATATCAAGTAAGAAAGCAACAAGGACTATCAAATGCTTTATTGAGGAGATCATATCATACTTCAAAGACTAAAGAAGCAACATTTAATCAGTAATATATAATTTTCTTGAAACCACAACAATTTTGTCTTTGTGCTACTTCTATAGCTATATATGTTGATTTAAGTTTTCTTGAATAAATCCGTGCAACTTTAGCTAAGGATCCATAAGTTTGTAATATCAAGCAATACCAAAATAATAAAAAATTTAATTTTGTGGAAGAACTTTTGCATTTTGAAGATCATTTATATATTCTAAAAGGACCGATGCAACTTTATGTTCTTCAATCTCATCATGGTTTTTCAGCTACATAATATTTTGGATTTAAGAAAACATTGGAACTTATTTCTTAAGATTTCTAGTAGACTCAAATGTAGAAGGTCATGAAGGACTTTGTCGTCTTATGTAGAAGTTCATAAGGATAATGTTGGAATCTGTTCAAGATCTAAGAATTTCCAACACTATCCTTATAAATTTCTATAGCCATTGTTAATTCCAAAGTAACTATGGTTTTCAATATCAATGGACTTCATCACTAATTTGATGAAATCAGCTACATTTGATGCTATCTATGTTGTGGATTGACTTACAAAGATAACATACTTTGTTCTATATAAAAAAGTAATATATATATATATATATATATATATATATATATATATAAAAGTATATGTTATTATGAATTAATTTGATTAAGAGAACGAATTTGTAAAGATATTTAAAAATATATCAATATAAATAACATCTATGAATTTTAGGCATATTTTTTAATTTAAATTACATGCATTGGATGTAAAATTATTTTATTAGAATAATAAAGGTACTTTTAAGATAAATATAGTATTATTAAATTTTATATTTATAATGGTTAATTATATAAATAATTTATTTTTATTAAAAGATATATACATATATATATTTATAATTTTTTCTATTTTAGAAAGAAATTTGAAAATATATTAATCAAAAAAATAAATGATTTTATTTGGATTTGTTTTTCTTCAACCATCTATTAATTAACCAATTTATTAATTAATCAATTAAAAAGATGATAGTAATTGCAATTGATTGTTGTATTAACAATTATTAATAAATTAATGTATAACAAACATATTTAGTTTTTGGATGTTAGAATTTTAATACATCTTTCTTAATTTTTCAAATGAATTGGATCAACTCAAAATTCAATGTTAAAATAGCTCTATATTAATTATTTGTATAAATTATTTGACATAGCTTACTTAATTTAGAAATTAAGAGATAGTATATATATATATATATATATATATATATATATATATTGTAATAAATCAATTCTAAGAAACTTCTACATTATTACATTTATTTTTAGTTCTAAGGTTTGAATGGTAATTTTTACTTATCTAAAAAGTTACAAAATAAAAACTAATTGTCTTAAAGATATGTTTCTTTCTAATCTTAAGCTAGAATCTAAAAACTCTAATACATATTATGTATAACGTGAAAATTTATGCAATATTATTTTTCATGTTATTAATATCATAGCTATATTATCTCTATACTCCATAATTTTGCAAAAGATGTAAAGATGGCCCAATTTTATCAAGAATCATTTTTTTGTTCTTCCAATGTTAGAAAATTCTTCTGTAGAAGTACTTGGTAGCTCTACTTGCTCCTACCATATAAGCAAAAAATCACATTATTTAATCTTTTTTTTTTTATCAGTTGAATTTTATTAGAATTTATTAGCCAAATTTTCTTAGTGGTTAGTATTAAATTAGGTCAAGATATTAATATTAAAATTTAACTTTATTTTTATACATTTAAAAATCACTCTTTCTAAAAACCAATAAAAAATAATGGTAACCATTTTAAAAACTTTGTAAAAATATTATTTATTTTTCATGGATCTTTGGATATATATGATGCTAGTAGAAATTAGTCACTTCAAAACACAAATAATTATATTTTTTGTTTTAATATCTTGTATTTTCTATTTTATAAAAAAAAATTAAATAATATTTATACTTACAAAAATTAACCATTACTTGAATCTATGTGTATTGGCAGAGGCATCTACTTTTAAATAATACTCTAATTATGTTATAAATAATGTTGAAATTTTATACTTAATTGTTTTAATTACATTAATTTAAAAGGGTAATTATATTAATTTAAAAGGGTAATTATAAATTAATGTTTTAAATTAATGCTTTAAATTAAGTATAAAATTAAGTATAAAATTATGTAAATTAATGTTTTTATAATTATAATTACCCTTTAAAATTAATAATTTAAATATAATTACCCTTTTAAATTAATGTTTTAATTACTTTTAAATAATACTCTAATTATGTTATCTTACTTTATTACTAATCTTAATTTTTTACTAATTTATAACATTATTTATTTATAACATTCAAGGGGAAGAGACGTTATAACGATTTGATGTCTTCAATGACGTTACCCACGCTAATATTCGTACACGATATTGTTAGGGCTGACGTGGCTAATGGACTGGGCGTAGCACAGTGGAAGTCCCGTCAGAGGCTTCCATAAGGTCGAACACCGTGGCTTGGAGCTGCTTGACGAACGCATTGCTTGGCAATGGCGGACTGCGCTGTGGATTAACTGACTCGCCTCGCTGCGGACACTGGCCGTGAGCCTCACATTAAGCGCTACATTCTCATCCAGAACGTCGGTTTTGTGTTCGCGTCAAATTTGCCGTGATTAAAACAGAGGGTGGAGATATGGAATGGTGATAACTGAAATTCTTGGGAGTGGGTTTTGAGAGGGGAGGAAGTTAGGGTTTGAAGAATCGAAGGTCGGGAAAGGATTGGAGGTAAATTCTCAGGGCATAGGTGCGGTGATGGACGGGTTGAAGAAGTTAGAGTATCTTTCGCTGGTGTCGAAGGTGTGCACGGAGTTGGAAGCGCACATAGGGTGTTCTGATAAGACGTTGGCGGAGTTTATAATTGACTTGGCGCAGAAATGCGAAACAGTGGAGCAGTTTGGGAAGTCTCTCAAGTCCAATGGCGCCGAAATGCCGGAATATTTTGTCAAGACATTGTTGACGATTATTCACGCCATCCTGCCGCCTGTGAGTAAGGCGGAGCGGGAGAAGCTGGGCAAAGGTCTAGGTGGGGATAGTGACTTGAAGCGGGCTGCGTTCCCGGGATTGGCAGTGCCGGACAGTAAGCAGCGGGTGCGGGAATTGGAGGACGAGCTCGAGGCGGATGGAGTCGGAGTTAGGGTTTTGGAGGGTAGGAGAGATGAACGGGGCAGGGGAAGGGATGGCGGACGAGGTGGTGAGAGTGATGGTTTTTCCAGAGAAAAGGAGTTTCAGAGGTACAGGGACAGAGATGGTAGTGGGGAGAGGGGCGGAAGGCGGGACAGAGAGAGCGATGGCGGGAGGAGGGATGGTCGTGAGGAGAGGGATGACGGTGGTCGGCGGTTGGATACGAAGGGGAGAGGATATGACAGGCATGATGATCGAAAGAATGGAGGTGAGCGAGCCAGAGACAAGGACCGAGGCGGTAAAGGAGGTTATGACAGATCTGCTGGCGAAAGCGAGAGAGGCAGAGGTAGGGGCAGGGGTGACGATTTCGAGGATGGAGATAGAGATTGTCCTGGTTCGCGGAGTTATGTCCCAAGTAGGACTCCTATGGTGGACGAGCCGGAGCTGTATGGAATATATAAAGGGAGAGTGTCTCGGATTATGGACTATGGTTGTTTTGTGCAATTGTTAGGGGTTAAGGATCGGAAAGAGGGACTAGTGCATGTGTACAATATTGCGTCCCGGCGGGTTGTGAATGCTAAGGATGCCGTCGAACGGGACCAGGAAGTTTGGGTGAAAGTTCTCTCTATAAGTGACAAGAAGATAAGTCTTAGTATGCGAGATGTGGATCAGAAAACAGGAGAAGATCTACTCCCCATGAAGCGTACGACAGCTGAAGAAGAAAACTTGCATGCGAATCCATCTAGCTCGAGCTTGGCTCCAGAGATGCGGAAGGGACTTTCGGGTATTACTATTGTTGACGAAGATGATAACAATTCACATCGTAGACCTATGAAGAGGATGAGCTCTCCTGAGCGATGGGAGGCCAAGCAACTAATTGCGTCAGGTGTTCTAGGTGTCAAGGACTACCCGATGTATGATGATGACGGGGGAGGTATGCTCTATCATGATGAAGGTGCTGAAGAAGAGCTTGAGATTGAGCTCAACGAAGATGAACCGGCTTTTCTTCGAGGTCAAACTCGTTATTCAGTTGACGTGTCTCCAGTGAAGATTGTGAAGAATCCTGATGGCTCATTACAAAGGGCTGCTATGACACAGTCCGCGCTTGCTAAAGAGCGGAGAGAGTTAAGAGAGCAGCAACAACGGACAATGCTCGATTCCATTCCCAAGGATTTAAACAGACCGTGGGAAGATCCCATGCCAGAGACTGGTGAGAGACATCTAGCCCAAGAGCTTCGGGGAGTAGGTCTATCAGCATACGATATGCCAGAATGGAAGAAAGATGCATTTGGAAAAGCTCCCACTTTTGGGCAGCGGTCAAAGCTCTCGATCCAGGAGCAAAGACAGAGTCTACCCATCTACAAACTGAAGAATGAACTTATCAAGGCTGTGAACGATAACCAAGTTTTAGTTGTGATTGGAGAGACAGGTTCTGGGAAAACGACACAGATGACTCAATATCTTGCAGAAGCTGGTTACACTACTCGTGGAAAGATAGGCTGCACTCAACCCCGGCGAGTCGCTGCCATGTCTGTAGCTAAGAGAGTAGCGGAAGAGTTTGGATGCAGACTTGGGGAGGAAGTAGGCTATGCAATCCGTTTTGAGGATTGTACAGGACCTGAGACGGTGATCAAATATATGACAGATGGGATGCTGTTAAGGGAGATTTTAATTGACGACATGTGTGCTTCATATTCTGTAATCATGCTTGATGAAGCTCACGAACGTACCATTCATACAGACGTCTTGTTTGGGCTTTTGAAAGGGCTTGTGAAACGCAGACCTGATTTGCGACTAATAGTTACTTCGGCAACATTGGATGCGGAGAAGTTTTCGAGATACTTTTTTGATTGCCCTATCTTCACCATTCCCGGAAGAACGTATCCTGTGGAAATACTGTACACGAAGCAGCCGGAGACTGATTATTTGGATGCTGCACTGATTACTGTCATGCAGATTCATCTCACAGAACCTGAAGGTGATGTTCTTCTTTTTTTGACTGGGCAAGAAGAGATTGATACTGCGTGTCAAATCCTGTATGAGCGGATGAAGGGTCTTGGGCCCAATGTCCCAGAGCTTATTATCCTCCCAGTTTATAGTGCTCTGCCCAGTGAAATGCAGACAAGAATTTTTGAAGCCCCACCACCTGGTACAAGAAAGGTTGTTGTGGCAACAAATATTGCTGAGGCCTCTCTCACAATCGATGGAATATACTACGTCGTGGATCCTGGATTTGCAAAGCAAAACGTTTACAATCCGAAGCTGGGATTGGACTCTTTGGTGATCACTCCTATATCGCAAGCTTCCGCAAGGCAACGAGCAGGACGGGCAGGGAGAACTGGACCTGGCAAGTGCTATCGATTGTACACAGAAAGCGCGTATAGGAATGAGATGTTGCCAACAACAGTACCAGAGATACAAAGGGTCAATTTGGGTTTGACAACATTGACAATGAAGGCAATGGGGATAAATGATCTTTTATCGTTTGATTTTATGGATCCCCCTCCACCTCAAGCACTTATTTCTGCTATGGAACAGCTTTACAGCCTTGGAGCCCTAGATGAGGAGGGTCTATTGACTAAGTTAGGAAGAAAGATGGCAGAGTTTCCGTTGGAGCCACCTCTTTCTAAGATGCTTCTAGCTAGTGTGGACTTGGGTTGTAGTGACGAAATCTTAACTGTTATTTCTATGTTGCAAGCTCAGAATATCTTCTACCGACCACGAGAAAAACAAGCACAGGCTGATCAGAAAAGGGCAAAGTTTTTCCAAGTGGAGGGCGATCATTTGACTCTTCTGGCAGTGTATGAAGCTTGGAAAGCGAAGAATTTTTCAGGTCCTTGGTGCTTTGAGAATTTTGTGCAATCTCGGTCATTGAGGAGGGCTCAAGATGTGCGAAAGCAGCTTCTTACAATTATGGATAGGTACAAGTTGGATGTGGTGAGCGCGGGCAAGAACTTCACAAGGATAAGAAAGGCAATAGCAGCAGGTTTTTTCTTCCATGCAGCACGGAAGGACCCCCAGGAGGGTTATCGAACTCTGGTGGAGAATCAACCAGTTTATATTCATCCAAGTAGTGCTTTATTTCAGAGGCAGCCTGATTGGGTTATCTATCATGAGTTGGTCATGACCACGAAGGAATACATGCGAGAAGTGACTCTAATGGACCCTAAATGGTTGGTTGAACTGGCTCCTCGTTTCTTTAAAGTTGCTGATCCCACAAAAATGAGCAAGAGGAAGCGACAGGAGCGAATTGAACCTCTTTATGATCGGTACCATGAGCCAAATTCATGGCGACTTAGTAAAAGACGGGCTTAAGTGCCTAACCTTGGAAGTAAATTTCAGGCAAGTTGAGTTCCTCTGCACTTTGATGGAGGGGATGTTATGATTTTTAAGAGAGGCCGAGGAAAGACTGGCATGAAGCAAACTCTCCACCAGCAAGTGCTGTTTCATCGATGTGCTGATTTTGCTCTACCGAGGCTTGACTACCAGGACCTCACATCAACGCCGAGTACTTTTAATTCATTTTTTTTTTGACTTAGCGCCTCACTGCATATAGCATGGTCATTAATGTTGAGTAAACAACTGCAGCAGGTATCAGCTTGTTCGTCTAATTTGACTAAGATTCCGATCTCACGAGTCAGTCAAGAGAAGCCTTCACACAAACATGTATTCTAGGTCAGAGCTCAACATGGTAGTAGTCTACTTAAGGCTAGATTAGGAACTTCTTCAGTATCTGGTTTGGTACAAATAGTTTCAATAGAGGTATGCCGATTCTAGATTTGAAGGCTGGAAATGTTAGATAGTCTCACTTTCCCAGTGGGAACTGGGTCTATAAAAAAAACCACATAGATCTCATTTGGACATGGATCAAACACCTCTCAACTTCTGACGCTGGAGATATCACGTAGGGTCTAATCTTTGTAGTGCCATCAAATTGCAGTGCTAGACATCCAGCGGCTCATTGAGTGGAACTGACGTCTATGTTCTTTCAGTATTCGACAATTTTGTTAACGTGTAGCTCAGTAAACCTTTTCTGTATCTTTCTACGCATTTCTATTGAAGGTCTGGACTCAGTTCCGCCTTGTTTTAACGTGCTTGACTGGGGTGCCTAGTAACTCCGACCTGCATATCTGTTCAATTTTTCTTCTTACAGGTCTAAGCAGACCATGGAACACCTTAATATTCAATTCATGTAGACCACTAATAGTTATCCCTAGCATACGTTTGCAGTTGGCCAGTTACACCCGTGTACAATGGCAACGCTAGTAAATCATTTTGATATTCTTGTGTTAACAATCTGCATTTGGTGCTTTTATAAATAAAAAACCGCTTATCTATTAGTATGCCATTTGAATTGGTTTATCCATTTCAGTTCTTTTCATTTAAATTTGAAGTGTTTTTATACCCATAGGACAAAAATTGGAGCCAAATTGTAAATTAACATTTTTTGGACCTCATGTTACAATTAGGCCTCCTGTTAAATGAAATTCATAACCTAGGAATTTCATAGTATACTTCATTTTGCTATGTAACTGTGGCTTCTGTTAATTGTCATTGATCACATGGTTGCATGTCACTAATTTACATATTTTTAATTTATTAAATTTTAACATGATAAAAAAATAAATAATATACAGTGTTAAATAAGTCTCCATTGTTTTCCTCTTCATACGTGAATTAAACACATAATAAATCATTTTGAAACTATCCAAAACAACATCTATCTACTGACACTAATAAAAATTCATATCCCTTCCAATTACTCTAAATTAATTTTCACACAGTCAACCTAATCTGATTAATTTCTGTAATTTCATTTCATTTTTATTTAACTTTAATACTGTGTTAACAAAAACCTGATTTCAAATAAAATGCTATCATATACTGCAGTGTACTAAATTAGATTTATTCTTTTTAAATAAGAAAATTACAAAATACCTTTAAAGCTTCACCAATTTATAATTAACCCAAGCTCCTTTTGCAAAGATGATTTCAAACACACCTCAATTTTCCACTTCAATTGAGGTGAACACGTAAGGCATAGATCCTGGTTGATAGCCGTTAATGTCCAGGCCCACACCCAGGATTGATAACTGGTTGATACACCGACTTCTTCATCGCGCCTGGTTGGGGTTTGCACTAAGTGCCGTCGGTACTCTCAATTGCCGCTTCGACTGAAGCTTGCTCTCTTGCTCGGGCACCGTCTCTCAACTTTCAAAGAGCAGTTGGGTTAGCTGCTGGTGCTTCATTTGGAGGAACTAGAAATCCGAGATGGCAGTTCCAGTACATCCCGAGGACCCCGCACCGGATCAACCTCAAACACCACCCCCAGTCCGTGATTTTCTTCAGGCAAGACTCTCGCTAGAATTCCACGCTCAAAGTTAGATGCGTTGGTTTGTATTTGCTACAACTTTATCTTGATTCTTTATGTACATTCGCTGATCCGTTTGTGATGAGCGTAGAATCCGAATTAGGGCTTAGAGTTTAGTTTCAGTTTCAGAATGGTGCTGGTTATGCGGGATTGGAAGTGTGTTTATGGTGCGCCCAGATTCCATTAGGAACGTAATTCTCAATTATGGTTTAATTTCAGTGGGAACGTGTGAGGTAAGCAACGCTCGAAGCATCAGAGTAATGCAGGGTTTTCATGAGGGGAATATGCATTTCGGGGTGTTTCACTAACCATGATGTTCTTTCGATGTAGTGCAGGCCGCTAGATATGGAGATTTGGAAGACGTGCAGAGGTTGCTCGCACAGGGGACCTCTGTAAGTTCCCAAGATGTTCAGGGCCGGACTGGTATGCGAAAACAGTTCCTCGCAAAAGTAGGAAGTTGCTGTGATATCATGTTAATTTAGTCCTTCCTTTGTGACTGACCGCTCAAGAGGTGTTGCCTTTTGGGGTTGGGAGCAGCTCTACATATGGCCTCAGCCAATGGCCACCTTGACGTCGTGAAATGCTTGATTGAGCATGGGGCCGTAAGTACATCTCCTTTATCAGAAGTGAAGAAACTTTTAAGAGACATGGTTCTGAAAGAAATGTGTTTGTCTTTTCTTAGGTTTAAGTCAAAGTAGGTGACGAACTTGGAGTTTTTTTATTATTTCTTGGTGCATATTTGAAATAAAAATTCAGTCAGCATTGAGGAGTTTCTCGATCCTTATACTATGGCTTGTAATTAGGTTTAGCCAGATGCAGCTTTATGGGCGGACTGGCAGCTAAATTGTTTTTTTTATGCCTTTGATCGGATGGTCTTTTATTTTTATATTTTGCAGAATGTAAATATGTGCAACTTGGAGCAAAACTCTCCTCTGCATTATGCAGTTCTCAATGCACACAAACCTGTAAGCGCAGTTAGGCTTGCAAGTAGTTTTTAAGGTTCTTATTTGTTCTAACATATTCCTGGAAATACGTGTTTCGCAATTGAAATCCATTGCTTTAGGTTTTAGTTCGTGGAGTTATAAAATATGCCCTAATTTTGATGTTACTAGTGCATTGCGCGAGAGGGTTTTGAGTTCTTAAGTCTGGAAATGTTTTGTCCATGCTGCGTGACATACTTGTTTTTTAATGCTGAAATGCTTTTTGCAGGTTGTAGAGTTCCTTATTTCCGCAGGGGCCAATGTTTCTGCAATCAATAGGTACGATCTCTAATACTTTACTATGCTCATAGTGCGGCCTTTTTATGGTTTTGGATTAGGTTATAGTATGTAGGCCAGATTTTGAACACCACTAATTCCCCAACACCACTAACCAATCATCAGCGTAGTGAATTATACGTGCACTGTTCAGGGTTTACCATGCACTAGAATTTCCAGAACCTGTAATTATTTCGCAAACCAATCAAAGATGACTGTCAGGCGTGCAAGGAAAGGACATAATGATACAGAATTCAAAGTGGTCCTGTTTAGCTCTATTTTTTAATTTATTTTTTGGTTGTCTGCCATTTAAGTAAAACATGAAGGGTTGTCTTTCGGATGTTTAATCAACAGAAGGGAAGTTTTCCGTTACTTGGACCCGGGTTTTGTCATTTGCTAGAATTTCCTGAGTGTGTGTACGCTATATGTTTTTCCTCTTACGGTAGAATGGTGTGTATGCAGGTATGATAGAACCCCAGTAGATGAAGCGGTAAGCAAAGGTGATGTTTCGTTGATTGAGTGCATTACTCGAGCAGCACCAATTGCAGAGGAACCTACTAATGGCGAAGCCAATGGAGCTCCCGATCATGCTTCTGCTATGGAAGAAGAGTGATACGAATCGCCTTGCAATGCAGTTTTTTCAATTGTCTACATTGGTATGCGAAAGCGCTTTTTATGTATACGGTCCGGAGCATGTATATGCAAAACTGTATATTGTATCAGTGTTGGAGAATAACCACAGAATGTAAATTTCGTATACAAAGAATCGTGGGGTGCACCGCTTGCTACTTTCCTGAAGCATTTTAAGCCAACAGGTTGTGTCTTAAATTTCAGAAATAGTCCGTGACCAAGTTTGAGTGGCATCTCGCATCATTTGCAACGTCAGCAAGCAGTGAAATGACGCACGAGATCGGTCTCCAGGTATAAATTCCACATAACGACGTAGCCCGATATTTGATATGCAGGACATTATAAAACTCAAAAATATGTTCTGGAGAAAATTTCTAAATTACAGTTTTATGTACAATTGGGGCAAACACCAGGTCGAGGACAACCAGATGGTAAAGGAAGCCTCAGATTTTCCGTGGTTCGGAATGTCCGCTTCACCATTTTGTCTACATACAGAGTGCCCTGCAAGTGGTCATACTCGTGCTGTAATATACGTGCCTTCCATCCTTTAGCCGTTAAGTGCAAAGGTCTCCCATCTCTTCCAAGGCCAGTAACTTCGACTTCCGAGTGCCTTTCCACAAGGGCCCGATATCCCTCAACGCTGTCCCATTGAAACGCCAAGAAAAATCATGGTAAGGAAGTTGTCTTCAGCCATAGGCATATCACCGAAATGATGTGTGAACCACTTATTTAAGCCGAACTACTTCGCAGAACATGATTTGAAAAGAATTAGACCTTATTTAAAAGGATACGTTTAAAGAAAAAATCGATCTGTTTCTCCGTTGCATCAAGAATGAAAAGAATTTAGTCACAAGGATAACGCCGAACCTGAGACAACCTTCGAAGAAGTATGCTGTGCCGCGGCCTTCCTTCTTTTCTATCTTTGGGTTAATGATAACCTGCCCATCGCCGAGGTAAAACTTAGCCAGTAAAATATAAGTCACCTAAAACATCACTTCAAGTTGCCGTTTCCGTATATGCCTTACTGGAAAGTAGCGCTCATTCATTCACATTACTGACATAGCTACATCATCCTGGTCCAATGAGTTATTTCCAGCCTGAAACACTAACTCGCTGCGCTAATGCTTCGTAACGCCTAGAGCCACCTTAAAAGACACGAGAAGCGGCAACAAGGTGAATCAATCAGGATTTACCAAAAGATCGAAAGGTGATCTCTGTTGGGCTTCGCATTCTTCAGGGGATGTGTAACTCATAAGTTCTTTCGTATCCTCCAGCACGATAATCTACCCATAAGTACCCCCGCACACCCACCAACAGATATCAAGGGTGGGTGCGACAAGAGGCAGTTGCATGAAATTCACGTCGAGCAAGTTGTGACAGCAAAAACTGCAAGTTACGAATTGGGTTTGTCGACGCGGGTTAACATGTTGTGGATTTTCGGCGGAACAGCTGGTGAAGCTGCGTACCTGAAGAGGGACCCCAATCTGAGGAGCAGCCAAGCCTACACCAGGGCCGGCACGCATGACGTCCACCATGTCATTGATGGTCTTCTCAATGAGTGAGCTCCCGATGTTTTCTCTCTTCACTTCTTCTGCAGGCTTGTGCAGCACGGGGTCTCCTGCCTGCACCGTAGATAGGGTTCGATCACTCGTGTCAGTCAAGATTGGTTTATCTTTCTCAAAGCAACCTGAAATTGTGCATCCCTACAAGACTATGCGTGACAGCAACTGAGTGTGAGCATTCGCTACTTCTCACATGAATACTTTCAGTCGTAATAACCAGATATGTTAGGCATTGCCGAAGGTCCACCAAACCCTACTTGTAAGGACGATCAATTTTTATAGAGGGAAGTGAATCAGGCTCAACGATCCGCTGCCAGAGGGACAGTGAAAATACATCATTCTCAGTTCGTTCGCGATGATCAAGTATTAATCTCGTCGATTATGGATCTCAATTACATAACGCGGTCCGCACATGCGCAGATCAATCACCATCTACACTTGGTTTTGCCATCCTCGAAGTACGAAGTTGACTGCAACGAATTGGTGAATTTTTACGAGCACGTTAGGATAATGAGTCGATACCAAAGGCATTGTGACGGTGCCACGCTGTTAAGCATTCATGGTGTTCTCACAATTCAGTATTGCAGCTCAAAATTGTAGTTCTAGGTTCAACAACAGTCGAAGGCCCTCAAATTTGAAACACAAAAAAGAATGAAATGGTTGGGTGTGCGTGCGAACCCACTTGCACAACGTCCGGAAGTTGTTTCTTCCCAAAACCGAAGAACGCCATGGGCACTGTCGAATCCCTGGCGTCCCGCACCCGCGACGGCGCATGACAGACACCACGGAACGGCGCCGGGTCCATCAAATGCGACATCGCGAAATCCATCTCGTCCCTCCGCAGCAACCCACTCCTCCTGTGCGTCACAAATCCTCTCTTCTCACCCATGCCACCCCTTCTTCCCCTCGCACCACGGTCAAAATGCGCAAGAACATCCCGGCACACGAGCCTCTCGCTCGATGCCGATACCCGCACCCAATGATTGCCCGGTCGCGGACTATTCCTTGTACGCGATCTCCCTCTGAAAGGGTCTGTAAGAAAGGGTCTGTAATCATGACCGTGTCCGCCCCTGACACACACCGTGATGTCCCTGGCACACCCATCTCAAACCTCCCCACAGAGTCACATCGCAAGGTGGTTGCAGCGGCTCTTCTTACCTGTGATGCGCAGGTAAAGGGTACGCTTGTTGCAACCCTGCAACAGTAGATCCCCCTAACCAGCTCCATAGCCACACAGATCACCACCTCGGGTGATCTGATTCCACTACCGGCTCACTGTGATGCTGATGCTGATTCCAAGTAGACCACCCCACAACTACGTCAGTCTTCTTCCCTCTGCCTGCGACCATACCATCTCGACATGTCAGTATTGCACATTCCTAATTGACAGAGATTCAACCACCATCTTCTCCTAAGCACGATTTCTATTTTTTTCTTCCAGTCAGGCGCCTAATCCTCCGTCGTGTCCATTTTTAGACAGTAAACATCCGTCGCTTGTTGGCACTGGAGCGTCCACCCCATCTGACTGTGGAAAAGAATCCTGGTCACATAAAACTGTACATTTCTTTTGGGTCTCTGAAGTTTAAGTGGGAGATTGGATATGAACCTTATCCTGGTTTGCGGGTAGAGTTTGGGTTCTGGCAGAGTGCCGGAAGGGGCAGTTGGCTTGGGAGGTTGTAGAGAGATCTTTACTACCTGTGTCGAAGTCAAGAATGTCTACTTGCACAAGCAAATATTCGTCCACACTCTGGTGCAATTTGTTCAACAGCAACTTGAGGCATACTTTCGCGACGGATTGCATCTCGTCTGAATTGCACAACTGAGAGCTAGTTATCGCGGCAAGGCAGATCCTGGAAAACTTTTCGCAGAAAAAAATTCAGGTTGTGCAGGGATGATGCCAGGCATGATTATGTGAAACTAACCAGCTCATTACAACAGAACCGTAACTTATCAGTAAAAAAAACCAACACTCTCTCTCCTCATCGACAACAAAAAAACACCAGCATTGAACTTAACTTCAGCTTCGGATTGAAAGTGAAAACTCTTATCACAACTGCAATCAATCTGGACGCTGAGTGGACACAGTTTGAAGAGCCCTGGAGTCTTAACAAATCAAAGGAAATTGTAGCTCACACACCAGATTTTTTCGGCTGGAACTGGGGCCGAGATTAGAACCCTTGTGATCACTTGCCACTGTCGCCTTAGGTGAGAGCAGAATGGAAGGCTGACGTGGCGGCCACCGACGCCAGCTGCAGAGCGCCGAGCATTGCATTCTGACACCGACAGAGTGTAATACTCGTCTTATTCCTCTGTCGGTGGTGCGCTTGCAAGAATACGGACCTAGACGGAGTTACGGAATATAGATCAAGACTGGGTTTACGGGGTTCATCCGTCTTATGAACCCATAAACCAAGCCTACATCCAAAAGCCCCCCAGAGCTGCGCAGCGGGCTGGTCCAACGTCCTTGCGTTTTTGACAGTATAATATCTAATATATATATATATATATATGTTTCTCCTCTAGAGCGTTGTTGTAATGTCTAATTGTATTTGATTAAGTCAATGATTGATGATTACAGTGACCAAGTTATTAACTCAATATTTTTATGTTAATTTAATTGGTTGTTCAATTACATCAGGTGCAACCAACCAAGTAAATCGATTTCATGCAATTATTGTCAATGATATAAATCATAACTAATTTTAGTAATGAAAATACAATCTTATATTACCAAAAGGGAGAAAGTAGACAATTAAAAAATAGATATAGAATTGAAATTAGAATGGTTTTTGCCAAATGCAAAATAACTACAAAATCTTGAAACAAGATAAAACACAAGAAAAGCATTCAAATAAGTGAAGAAGTCCTCATTCTTGCTTTCATATGTATATATATATATATATATATATATTAAAGAATTACATGGCAATGTTCTCTAAGTCAAATGACACATGTCCAACTTGCAAAACACATGTCTAATTTATAGGACAAGTTTTCAATATGTACACCACATGACCAACTTATACTCAAAGTGGCTAAATGTACAACATGTGGCCAACTTAATGGCCAATTTGTCAACCAACTAATTATTTATGAACTTGTGTAAAATCTATAAAGCTTTTAAGAAGCTTTCAAACAAGATATTAATAATTTAATATAATTCTATTTAATTTTGCATAGTTCTATTTATCTAAGTAAATATACTAATAAATTTGACTATTTTCTATAGCTTGTGTAAATGCCTTAGCTTCCACAAATAAAGATTAAGATGGTTTGTTGTCATTGGAACTACATCTTAAAATAATCTTTTGTGATTTCAAATCAATATCAAGATTATGTAATTGAAACCAAGGAAGGCCAAGTACTACTAGATTTTAGGGATATTAAATAATGTTAAAGACAATGTTAGATACTTGATCTTCTAAAGCCACTTTCAATAGTTTGATTTCTTTTTATGATGTCTCTAAATAGAAGTAGTCATCTATCAATAACTTCTACTAAAGCTGATTAGATCTTCTTTGAAATTGTTAATTTTTGTTGCAATGCAAAGTCTTTATTTATAAAACTTGTTGAGGCTTAAATGTCTAAAAGTGCTTGAACTAAAAATTTGTGACTTGAAATTGTTATAACTATAAAAAATTTAAAATAGGGGATAGGATTTGGTAGTAGTATGAGACTTGTATTTGATGGCCTAAAATTGTCCAACTGCAAGGTCTCTATTGCAACTAAATGTCTTTATTTTCTAGTATTTTCATGTTTAATTATATGTTTCTTATTCTAAATCCTATTATTTTGATGCAATAGTCTTTCACCTTATGATTTTTTTTAATAATTATAAAAATATAATTTTTAGATTAAAAATAGAATAATTATTAATAGATATGATAGGAGAGTTGATCTTCAGAAAGGTGCCCATTAAGATAGAAAATACAACTGAAGGCAACTCTAATGTGTGGAATTTCTTGTTAGTAATACATATATATTAGTTAAAAAATGAAAGAAACAGCTTGTTATCAAAGATTGAAAAAATTATGCCAAAGATGGCAGTAATCTTTTTTTAAACTTATATGACCTACAAAAAAAAAGTATAAATTATCAATAAATTATATATATATATATATATATATATATATACATATATGGGAGTGGTCAATTTTTGACTTGGCAACTACAAATTAAAATTTTATAAATTTTTTGTATCCAATGGCACTTGTTTTCACTAGTTTTAAATATATCTAAATCTTTATGTACTAGCAATAATAAAATGATAATCTTAGAATCATTACTATCTACCCCCTGTTTTTTTTACCAAATGACCATATTACAACTGAATAATGTTTCTACTGTAATATTGTTAACATTCATTATACATTGATTATTTTCATCTATCCAATAAATGAATGTGAATCCCAACTGTTATTATAATTCTAATTGAAATTAACCTAAATTATAATAGGTAGTAACTTAGCACAACACTGCCTGAATAGTATGTGATAAACATCTCTTTAACCAACCGGGAGACTCTGCATAGCAAGCTTGCAATCCAGAAGTTCAAAAAAAGCAATATAAAAAACATGAAGAAAATATAATGAAGTTAGCATAGATTGTTGAAAGTTGGGCTTGTAAAATGTCAGTGAGATTGTTTCAAATGACCAAGATTCTCATGGTTTCTCAGCAAAGTTTTACTGAACGTTATTAAACTTTGTGATCTTGGAGTGAATCAATCTCACTCCCAATCCAAATCAAACAACTTTCGAGAATGATGATTGCTTCATTTCCAGTAGGTAGTTGCGAGATTGTGCCTTCCAACTTGTTTTGAAGGAGTCCTGAATATTCAACCTTCTCACAGAGGTTTTTGCTAATTCTCAATTGTGATTGCCTCCAATTCCGAGTTCGATCGAAGCTGCATGATTGTGGCAGAATGTTGAGCTTCCAAGTTGTCCATTTCATCTTTGTCTTGGATTCCTTCTTCCCATATATACCTCCTAGCGGTCCACTCTAGACCACCATCTATGATGTCTAACTCCATTAGTAATTGCAAAATAACATCATGGTGTCACTTTTCTGTTGCCTGTCGAGTCAAGGGCTTCAGAGCTTTCTGCATGATTCAGCTTGGTTCATTCTTGCATACCATAATCTGCTAACCGTTTTTTCGAGACCTCTTCAGCATGTGTCTCCTCAATAGGTCCGACTCTCTTGGCCCTTGGTGCATGAGTTTGTCGCCCCTTAGGCCGTAGCAACAGAAGCAACTTGCAGTTTCCAAGTCGAGGGAAACTCACAGTCCAAAGACGAGAGAAAATTTTGAACCCGCCTCTAACGTCCAACCGCACAAGAAGTGCCTCCTCATCAAATTGGTTCCCATGCATTGTCTCTGCTACAAGAGTTTCGATACAACTGTTTCGCTCCCCGGTACAGTGGTGATCGACAATGTCTAGCTGCTAAGTAGTATCCACCCTCGAACAGATCAAGGTGTGAGCCCATCGAAGCGAACCGTTTGTGACCATCTCGTTTCCACGTGACCGGACTAGTTCAGTGCAACGCACTTCAGGAGCATTGTCGCACAATGAGACATCCCATGCAGCGTGGTGCCGTTTGCTCTGTGCCTCACATACAATGACGTGCAACGTCTCATGACGGCACAACAACACTCCATAGGACTGGACCTGCATTGGACGCATCGCACACCACATTACAAAGGCTGTCACACGAGCAATGCGTGATTGAGGTCACTGAACAGATTTGTCTCATTAATAAATATTTTCCCGCTTTCACAGGGGAGTACACAGTTCCACTCTACTCGGGTGCACGCTCAGAGGTTTTCCGTCCACTTCGACCTCACGTGGCGACGGCGGTGCTCCGGCTTGGACCCTGAGAGCTCAGCTTTCTGGGACGCGAATTCCTGCACAGCATGCAAGTCAAAGCCATGAGTGGCAACCCCATCATCGTGATCGTCTCCTCTTCGCACACAGCTGTGCACTCGCCGCCGCACTGTCGGTAGCATGTCCACAACCATGACGTTCAAGGCAAGGCAGCAGGAGCAAGACATCACCAGACGACGCGAGGGGTGAGCCATGACAATGCGCTGCTACAACCCACTCCCTGGGGCGGCTGGGCGGCTGGAAGGCAAAGAACTGCATCAGCGTGGGAGAAGGCGTGAAAGCGTACCTTGGCACACGAAGCCCCTAGAGACGGCGATGCGGCATTTCTGGGAGATGCCAAGAGCGATCTGGGGAACCACCCCTTGGGATCTGGCCAGGGGGTGGTGCAGGAGAGAACACAGACACTTCGCTTCGGGAAGCCCCTTGCCCATGCTGGCGACGTTGGAGCAGCATTGCCTGGAGGGCATCACGTTGGTATTCTTGCTGGCGCTAGGTGCTAGGTGCTTGGTGGAAGACACGGCGCTAGGTGGAAGTCGTCGCAGCCGGCTGCTTGGGAAGTGACCAGCATCTGAGAAGTCACAAACAGGATCAAGGACACAGCGGCGACCGCGAGGAACTTCATGGCGCTGGGACTGCGGCGTAGTGCAGATGCAACCCCTGATGGAGAGAGCGAAGAAGATGGGGAACTCGGGGTGGCTCAGGCGGGTGCTCAAGCATCGAGAGCGGGTGATGAAGGTGGAGAGGGAGAGCGGCGGCGGGTGGATCTTATAGCATTGAGTTGAAGGAGGGAGGGAGGGAGAGTGACATACGTGGTGTGTTGTATTGTGCGGCGGGGGAGGATGCTGCCGGGATGAGCAGGTTGGTGGGGGTAGCTGCTACAGGGACAGGGGCTGCCGTGCCGTCATTTGGATTGCGAGGGGCAGGTCTAATAAAGCCCGGGGCTGGGAATGTCAACCTGCTCCTCGTTCTGAGAAAGTCTGATGTGTGTGTGTGTTTGTGTCAGTCAGAAGTGTGCGGGATGAAGCACTCGGGCGTCGGGCGGAGCAAGTGGATTTTTTTTTTTTTTCTTGACCCAAATAAAGTTATGAATTTACTGCAGAGGTGTTAGTATGCAATCCCCAGCCAGGTCCGGCCAGAGAGGTTAGTTTTAGTTCTCTCCTAATGACAAAATCTACTACTAGGAC